AAAGCAGCACCATCACAGTCACGAGTTGAACTCGGGCCTTCTCAGAATCAACGAGTTCGTATCTGCATTCACGCGTCAATCAGTTTGATTGACAGGCGCACGCGGCTAAGATCGGGTACGCCCACACGTTTGCTCTTACCGAGGAGCAGCACTCACGCCTAGCGGCAAAATTAATCTATCAGCTTTATCGCGCAGGCTATGCACACACGCATACAGAAGCAAAAGTGATATCACCATGCGGCTACGATGTCTCGCATTGAATTTCACCGCGCTCCTGACGTTGCCAATCACAGCCGCGTTGCCACCATGATGCGAGCGCCCCTGGTGGCTAGCTGTCTTTATATTTATCTGCACTATTTGATAGGAGCAAAATGAGCAGCTGAAGAGTGCTGCGTGTGCAGCCTTGCTGCCTTCAAGAGTGGAAATTTGCATGCTGCAGGTGGAACGGAAGAAGCTGTGCGAAAGAGGACAAACGCCAACGAAAATGCCTGTGGAAGGCGCGCGTTGAGTTGGCAAAAAGGTAGCGCGACGATCACGCTGACGTCGCTGCACTGTTAAAATGTTGACTTAGTGGCGGCGCTGACGTGCTCGCACGCGCTGTTACTTTGATAACCACCGCAAATGTCCCACATGTGTTTCCAACGCCACGCACGTTCTTGCGGCCAATTAACGCTGCTATCACGCGCTCCACATTGTCTTCATACCATGGCCAGCCGCACAATTACCTCGGATCAAACTCGTCCGTCCGAGAAGCTCAGGTCATCCTGCATAGAACCCCAAAACGTAGCCCCGAGTAAATACGATCGAAGGCTGCAATTAACGTATCCTTTTCTGTAGGCGCGTCAAAAATACCAAAAATGCGCGACTAGGAAAATAAATGCGCATGTTTATCGAAAGCTAAAAGTTGGATTGATTGATATGTGGGGTTTAACGTCCCAAAACCATCATATGAGTATGAAGAGACGCCATAGTGGAGGGCTCCGGAAATTTCGACCACCTGAGGTTCTTTAACGTGCACCCAAATCTGAGCACACGGGCCTACAACATTTCCGCCTCCATCGGAAATGCAGCCGCCGCAGCCGGGATTCGAACCCGTGACCTGCGGGAAGCAAAAATTTGAAAAACTTGAAATTCTTAGTCGTAATATGTTGTTCACGCCCTCCTGACCCGATGGAAAGTGTTGCGCAAAAGGCTCTCTCTTAGGAAGATATTTCCCAAAGCAGTGGAGTGCGAAAGCATGCCCGTATGCCCTCCAATCCTAATATTCAGCACTCTTCCAACAGGGTTGCCAGAATGGGCTACGTTTTCAAGCTGTTGGTGGGAAAAAAAGGTTGGCTTAGCTATAGATATAGCAGGCTATTTATGGCTTTAAAGAGCTTGCCTATTTCATTTAAAAAATTTGATAGAGATATGTGTAGCTAGCTCATGCTGTTCATCAACTTTGGCGGTGTTTAGGCTACCACATAACGATGACATTTGAAGTCTTTTTACGGTTGTTCATTGTTCTAAAGAACACAGACAGTTTCATAAAAGTTTCGTTGAAAAAATCATAAAGTGGGTATGTGGGCTGCTTATTCACATAGAATGGAATCTGCGGCGCCTATAAATTCAAGGTACCGGCGTTTGTTAAGTAATTGTCAATGTTTAGACAAACAACCACGAAAATTGGTGTAGAACAGATGTTTCACGTTTGTTGCTGAGTGAGTGATGTAGCTATTTGTCCTGCCAATGTAAAAGAGGCCAGTCGAGTTTTTTCAGGAACATAATTGAAGAAAATAGAATGCCTGATGATCTGCTGGCATCGATGATAAAAGTTCAGACGTCTGCTGAAAAATTTTACCAGTTCCAGGTTCGATATTCCTTCAGGAATGATTGCCAAAATAAACTGAAATGTTTGAACTTTAACTTTTTCGGTGACTCGAACTCTTTCATAATTTAGTTTTTCTAGTCATATTGTCACGGGGTCGTGACAATATGACTACTTCAGCCCATCGTCAATGAATATAGGATTTTTTTTTTGGTATCCAAGATCTGCATGCATGAAGCGAATAATGAATTCTGTTGCACTACAACAGTGCAGAGTAGATAGGACACAGCGTCAACATTTACAAATGAAAAGATGGAAAATGTGACATAGTGCGGAAACGCCGACAGTTGCCAAGCGCGAACGAATTTTTCAATATAGCAGATTGCGTTTCTCTCACAAGTAAAAGTAACGTTCTGCGAGCTTCGTGCACCCATTCGGCAATGGACGGCATACACATTATACGAGTATAGGCTTCAGTCAACGCATCTTATTCGCCGACAATCAGCTCACACCACTTACAAAAAAGCATGGCTGCGTACATTTCTACGCGCACCGAAACTTTCGCCCAGGAGGAGAGACGAGCTGACGACCGGAGCGTAGTGAAGGGAAGAGCGAAACGAGTTAGGACGTCTTTTGTATCACCAAACGCACGTAACTCCGCTATTACGGCACCTATTCGAAAATACTCTTGCGACCACATTTTCATTGCGGTTTAACCTCTGGGTAGTTTAGGGGCACTTTAATTACTGACATCAGCTTTGGCTGTGACAATGTCCTTATAGTAACTGGGAGGAAAGGCATATACTCTTTTTTTTTCCTGGTGTAGCTGCTTCGTTCGCTACATTCCCGACCTAGGCCACAATTGACTGCCTTGTTTTTGCTTTTCGAGTTTTGACCCGACAAACCTGTCTCTCACGCGTGCTCTTCGCAGGATGGAAGAACTCTTCTTGGTAAGCGACGAGATCGCGAGGCGCAGCACCGTCGACGTTTATCTAGATGCAACCGGTACGCGGGCACGGCTATCTTTTTTGTTTGTTTGTTTGCTTTGCTTTCTAACAGCACATTGCCAGTTGAACTGGAAACGTTTTATGATTGACTGAACTGCACGTACAAATACTCGCATTTTCTCTTACTAGTGTTTGAACGTTACAGGCTGTTCTTTTAGCCTATAACCATTTTGCTTGCTCTCCCTTTCACCTGCTAACGTGGCATGCAGATATAGTAACTAAACGCTGTGAGAAAAACAAGAAAAAAAGAGAAAATAGACGTTATGCATTCGTGATGAAGTCGCGCATTCGCAGTTGTATTTTGCACAGAAAGACAGAGATACATGCTTGACAGACAACAAATGCACGAGCTTTTAACTGCACATATAAATAAAATTGTTCACCTTAATGCATGATAGTACTAGCGAAAGTAAAATTGGGACGAAGTGAGACGTACGCAGGATGGTTGGTAAAAATGCTTGGGTAGTCCGGGCTCTTCTCGTCTTACGTAGGAAACCAGTTAACGGTGAGGCACCTATACCTACTAAACTAGTCTGCATCATTTTGAGGATACTCCTTCAATATCGTTCCCGTCACTTTGACACCAGGGGCACAACTTACAGATGTTTCGTCAGCGCGTTTTTTCATTGGTTATCCGGCTTCTTTAATGATAGGTCCCACACTGAGATTGCCTTCAAGTATTTTTTACGAGATTTTTTTCTTGCAAGATTTTTTACCGAACACGAGTCGATGTGCAAAACAGCTGAAGATGCACGAAGGTTTGGATGCACAATGTACAGGTCGCTATACGTGGAGTTTCATATGTTTATATATGACATTATTTGATGAATATCTGTGGGAGAGGCTACAGGCGCATGTGGTGCAGCAGTGTATAAGATCCCACCAGCGTTGCGCTGTGGGTGCAATACTACAGCACACTTATTGCGGGTATTCGCCTATAAAATCAAATTTCAACAGGACGGTCGCTAGTACCGGAAATATTCAATTTTGTTAAAGGGCCACTCACCATGTTTGACAATTTTGAGCTGACAAGCGCAATGCGTAGACGAAGCGTTCATGATAACGTCTGACGATATTTGCAACGCTACGCGCCACGGAAATGGGTCAAATTTCAAGATTAAAGCTGCTCGCCCTCCCCTCTACCTGCGCACGCCTAGAGAATGAGGGCATGACGTGGGCGTAGGAATGGCCCTACGTACACAGCACTGCGGTCACGTTGGTCCTCTACGTAGACGACTCTGCTCTGACGTTGTCAACAGTATACCACGTGACATGGCACAAATTATTTAACACAACATGCGTAGTTTATGTATTTGTTGCTTTAGGAGATGAACAAAACTTGAAATAAATAATGAGACGCAATAAAAAATTGTGCAAGTTTTGCTTACATTTTTTCCCCGTGAAATCCTACGAGATGCAGGGCTAATGTGCCAGCGTTTCACATGCGTTCGGGTTGAGCATTGAGCAGACGACCGCCGTGGAACGCTCCTACGCGTTCGCGCACTCATTGTGCTCATCTACTCTACCGCGTTTCCAAACAATCCCGCAGACACAGGCAGAAGACCACAAATAACGCTGGTCAACAAAGCAACGCCGCTCGCGTGCACGGGCGCTGGGCTTGTTCGGGCACGTCATGCGAACGTCACCTCTTGGTCGTATGCCGAAGAGGGTGGGGAAGAGGTTTCGCTTGCGAAGGCTACGAGGAGGAGCGGCAAGGGTTTCGAGCTCGTCTCCTCTCACCCTCGTTTCGCACCGCTTCAAAAAACCTGTGTTCTCCGCTCGTAATGAACCGATTAGAGAAATTTTTGTGGCAAAACGGTTTCCATCGGACACCGAACAACTTCCACTGTCTAACTAAAATTCGGTATGGGGCCTGGTGAGTGGCCCTTTAAAGAAATCGTGTTCCTGCAATTACAAAGTACTGGCTGTAAGAGTTGGACGCACTTTAATCTTGCTGTCTCCGCCGTGGCGAGGCAGTGGTGCCTGGCTGCTGACCCGAAAGCCACGGGTACGATCCGGACGGGGCGGGTGAATTTCAATCAAGGCGAAATGTGTGATGTCATTGCACGTACGTTAAAAAACACTAGCTCGCCGAATTTCCGGAACGCTCCAGTACAGCGTCCCTCGAAATCATACCATGGTTCTGGGACGTAAAATCCCCCATAATATTAATCTTGCTTTCTCAGTGTACACATTTGGGTCCGAATCATTGCACTCTGCAATGGTGCAGACTACACGATCCGCAACGTGATAATGAAGGAGCTGCATCGGACCAACGACAAAGTGCTGCAGTTCGCTACCAGCAAAGCTGATTAACAAGAGCATCTCCATCGAACTCCTCAAGGCAAGCATCCACTTGCGGTCCCGCTATCTCGTTATCCTAACGGAGTTTTTCATGCTGCTCTCGTGACAATGTATCTTGGTCTGCTCGGCGTCGTCGTGGACCGAGTCTACATAGAGTAACTGTATATGTTTCGTATACTCTTCATATACAGTAACTTTGAAGTCTACAATATCAGCTACTACTGCGTGTACTGAAAAAAGAAAAGGCAATGCGACTGCGAGTTGGTTCCTCCCTATGTTATATATACGCTGCATCGCCAACCTTTCGCTCGTACGGAATATGAAGATTTTGCATGAATTCATTGATAAAGCATGCTGGAGGTTGTTTGAATATTTATTTATTTATTTATTTATTTAAAATACTTGTGGCCTCTTCACTCGTTGTTCGTTCATATTTTTCTTTCTGCGCTGCTAATGTGTGCTTGGAGTCCGAAGCAGCCCGAACCTGCGCGGTAATGAGTGACACGCGTATTAATCCGCCATCGTCGGGTTCCTGGTGCCATTCAGCATCCATTCACGCAACTCAGAAACGGCAGTTGACACGCGGAGTCAGTGCAAGCACGCCACCTGAACAGTACTTCTTCCTTCCTCAACATCTTTCGCAATATTCCTCTTTCGGCCTCTCGCAGATTTCTGACCCGTTCTACCACGCCTTCGACTTCACCTTCCGGGAATTCATGAGCCCGGGCATCATCGCATGGTGAGCCGTGTGTGTGTTGGCTGCCCTGCATTCCTGAAACTCTACAGGGGTCCCCCGGTCTTCGTTCGTGCCGCCATGCTAAGCTATCGGCTGTGGTCTCTAGATTTTCACTGCCAAAGCTGCAGATGCACACCCAGTTTTGCGGACACGTTCATTTTGCCCAAATCAAACAAGTCACAAAGGGAAGTTGTTCAAGCTTGTTTTATTTACAGAAAACCCGACAAATGCGTAAACAGCCCTTCTTTGACTGTGCTTCCGAAAGAGGCTCATTTTGTTAGACGGCTTTGTGTGGATGACACTCAGTGTCCAAGTTTGTAACTTTTAATTCATCTGTTTACAGCAGTTGTGTATTATCATTGATTTTGGTAGTATATATCTTCTAGACTTTCCATTTCATTTGTTTTAAGAAGTTTGCAGAGATAACGTGACAGCAAAAAAGCACAGGACCGAGTTGATTCGCGCAACATAACATAGGCCTTTGCCCTTATGCAATGAGAGTAGTCGAGCTCATGATAATGATGATGATCCGGATTGTTAGCACGTGACCATTTCATGTTTGGATATAAAGATATCCCTATAGTGGTGTGCGTTGTGCCACTGATATGAGTGTCTCGAAGGAGCCGTAATGAGAGCACATGACGATAAGATTTATGCCAAAATGCCTCGCTTTGGCATTCCGTAATTAGGTTGGAAGTTTGCGCTCATACTGTGTAGATCTATTCTTTGTTAGTGTTATTTTAGCGCAACTTTCCCATGTACACACCAACCAGCCCAAACGAAGGCGCTACTGCAAAGTATATCATACACTCTTAATCAGGTCCCACTTAAGGTGCTGAATATAGCCAGGAGAGGGACACTTTTCGCCTGCTTTCCTGTATGTAGCCGGCATTTAACAATGACCCAATTAACAGTATATCTTCTTTATTACTAAAAGAATACACCGGTGTATTGCAACGTGTAGCGAGCAATGACGCTATTTCTTGTGGTGTAATTTTTCAAGTCAGTACATCTGTTTGCTTATTTATTTAAATGGCGTGGTTGATCATTATTTCATCAGTTTAGTTAGTTAGTTAGTTAGTTAGTTAGTTAGTTAGTTAGTTAGTTAGTTAGTTAGTTAGTTAGTTAGTTAGTTAGTTAGTTAGTTAGTTAGTTAGTTAGTTAGTTAGTTAGTTAGTTAGTTAGTTAGTTAGTTAGTTAGTTAGTTAGTTATACGAACGACGCCACACTTGCTCTTCTTTCTTGTCATTTCCCTGTCTTGTGCTGTCTATACATGACGTGAGTGGCAAATAGACAAGGGTCTGACCTTTTCAAAATTATAAGTCTGTATTAATAAAGAAAACAGATCGAGACAAATGGCAGGACGACGACGGCGCTGAATGACTTGAAGCTGTCACGATCATCCCTCTGGCACCGAGCCCCTCGTTCTGATTTTGTGAAGCCCTGTGCCTATAGTGGCCTCGCGTGGTACAATCCAGTAAACTCGCTGAACTTTCCTTTGTTTTGTTGAATCTTCTTGAGGTATTGCAGCGGCACTCTGCAGTAATGATAAAAAAAAAACGCGAGTAACGGGATAGCATCGCGAAATCTGTGTGCACGATGATGCACCCTCAACAGCCCTTTCACGCATTATCATAGCGCTTTAGACAGTAAAAAATAGTGCCGATCCGGCTCTTCGGTTAGACAGTGGTGTCGATTATCTTTGGCTAGTACAGCACTTTTTTTATAAATGTGCAGATCTGAACTAAGTGACATATTGAGCTACGGGTGACCTCAACTTGACACGAAAAATGGGGCGTCGCGGTACTTTGACTTTCTGCCTCATTTTTCCTGCTGTATTTTGCACTGTTTAGAAGCCACTCTCTCTTCTCCTTTTCTTTTTCTTGGACTGCGAATACAAACACCTCATATTTCATTCTATTCGACTGTTCTCTCGTTCTTTTAGCGCCCGTTCTGCAACACTAATAGTCTACCTTAATGAGGACTACTGTTAGTTATCATTAATATAGATGCACAAAGGAGCGCTTAAAACGTACACTTCTTTCCCTAACAGTCTACCCAAGTTGTCTGACTTATATAAGCCATAAGGCCCTGCCGAACTCGACATGCCCGTCTCAGTGTCCAATGGCCCTGCTTCTTGATCTGTCACATGTGTGCCTTATATACACGCTAACGTGCAGCACCCTGTTCGCGCTGTCCATCACGCTCACGGCACTGCTGCTGGTCGGCGAGGACCAGGGAGGCATCCGAGGCCGGTGCGCCGTCGCAGGTGCGTGCGTGAGACGAGCGCTTTCGGGCCGCTACAGCAATGGTATCTGGTGCTTTATACGTGTCAAAGCCACGAACCACGTGGCGCCCTTTGACGTGCGCAGGCATGGCGCACTGTACGGGCCTCTGGCATTTCTTCTTCATAGAATCGAGACCGCCGATCAAACCCGCCACTTTCGGGTCAGCAACCGATTGTAGCACCATAATAATTACACAACCACGGATCTGCGGCATGCCACTTTCTCACCATGGTTCTTTATCGGTCTGTAATTGTGCTGAAACGAAAAAGCGTGGCAAAAGATAAACTTTTCCAGGTTGCGTGTTCGAAAGACGTGTATTTTTAAACAAGCACGTGTAGAACTTGACCGAAAGCTCCGGGCTTCATCTATGAATAAGACGGCATTTCTAAGGAGCTCACGTGACATGCTCTATAGTGATTCCAGCGTTAATAAGTTGCTATTAATCAACTTGTGAACTATGTGTATTAAAATGGAAGTTGTGCAAAAAGTGAACATTTCAAGCGGCGCCCAATTACGTTTACTTGAGTTCTTTATCCAAAAAAAAGTAACAGATATAACACATAACAGAATAGTAACACCGTCAGCTGCTCTACAGGACAAAATAAGCTTAAAGAGCACTTTAGCTTCGTCTACAACCACCGATAGCGAATATGGGCACCATTCGCATCGCCCTCAAGCCAGGCTTCGCTTCTCGGTGACAACTATGCTACATGTAAAGGAACTTCGGTACGCGTAATATCTGCCACTTTCTTAGGATGCCTACTGCAGGTAAAGCTGCGACGTACCCACTACTACGGGTCGGTTAGACGATAGCGCGTCTGCGCATCTGCACGCTTTGTTGATGCTGTTGCTGACGTTATGAAGACGCCAATGCGCGTTGTAATGGGTGAGCCTTTAGTCCCGTTACTCGATGCACAATTCACTGGCTGTGACGCCTAGTTGCTTTGTCCCGCCGTATTACGTGTGAACGCGACTCCTTGCACTATACACACACGTATAAGAATTTCGGGCCATTTCTTTTCAGAACAGTTTCAAACCCTGGTGCGTATCTAGCCGAACAATCCTTTGCATGTGCAGAAAGCCTGGTTTTAATTGCAGCTCGAGCCCTTGATTTTTATCATTGGCGTTCACAGCGATTTTTCTCCCACCGACGACGCCAATTCCTTGCTCACAACCAACGACGACGCCGACAGCGGAGTTTCTGCGAAAAGACTGTTTAACACTACACCACGTCAAATTGCACGTCCATTCACTGGCAAATCAGCAACCAGTGCATATATCGCATGGAGGCTGTAGACAAGCGCGCTGCTGCTTCTTGCTTGCCTTCAGACGCCGACTTCGTATAGATGCGTGCTGCGATACGATTGATTTCACCTTCTATGAAGACCTTTACATCGCAGTTTTCGGCGGAGCGGGTTTTTCATACGCAGAGGTAGTTAAATGGGTCAGAAAAAAAGATGAAGCTGCCCGGTTGTAATTTAAACTGCTTCACTAAACATCGGGTATACAGACTGAAGCCTAAATATCTTGGCGCAATTAGTCAGCCTTTATTAAATGACATACGTTTGAAATCCAAGAATCCTATGATCATAAAACGACGAAGCGTCACCGCCAGCCGTCATATAGGCTTTAGCGAGATGGCGTTATTCTAAGAAAATGAAATTATAAACGTACCATTCACCTTCGCTTGCTCTAAAATAATAAACTTAAACGAAATGAATCACGCAATATAGTTCCGCAAGGGCCAAGGAGGTGAAAAAGGTAATAACGCGGGGGGGTGGGGGGGGGGGGTAAGGGTAAGCTTGTACATATTGTCCGAAAACGTTGCCATTAGAAACAAGAAAGAGAACTTTCCAATATTTTGTACACATGTCATTTCTCAAAGAAATTCGGTTCCAGGATTCTAACACCTTATTGATCTCCAGGATCACTAAAATCTACACGACTAATTGGGAATGTAGTTTTTCTTTCGAGGATCCATACATGGTGACCGCATGTGGTTCCTCAGGCAAACAATGCTTTAGATCTGCAGTCATGCTTGTGCAACTCATGGAGATGCTTACTAGGAAAAAGTGTTGGTTGAAGAGAGTCCTGTGAGGGCCGCACGCCGCATGGGGCCCTGCGTTTCTGTCCCCGGCCTTGTATGAGAGGTGAGAAACAGTAAAATACCACAGCAATTTTTCAGCTCATAGAAATGCTCTAAATACAGAAGGTGACTGCGTTCTAACCTCGACGAGTGCATATGACGGCACTTGTACCAGCTTATAGCATTATGAAGCGCTTCTTAGTGCTTTCTCGGTTCAGGGCATTGTTTTACACGTTACTCTGAATAAGAAACGAAAGCTCGTTCCTTCCTAATTTCGGAACGAGTTCCCGTTACAAGTTCCCTGAATGCAAAAGGAACTCGTTACAGTTACATTTCGAAAATTTGAACGTGTCGTTACATTAACGTTAAGTTCATATTTTTCAGCGAAATATAGTGCAGGATAACTTCGAGAACAAACAAAGTAAGAAATCATTGTTTATTTTGCACTACGTATAGTTTGCTTACTTAACATCGGCAGCGGCAAATTATATGTATAGATAGAAGCAGTGTAAGGAAAACAATCCTAGACAAACTTTTCAGAGGTCACCGGCTATACTACAAATATGTCTAATTGCAACTTTAGTACTCATCTATTCGAAACCACAGAAAATGTTCCTTGTGCTGTCAACAGTGGTAGAAAAACAAAGATGGCTGCGCGTAACGTGGTGAACGCGGCACTTTCGCTTGGAGTTGTGCAGAAGTTTTTTAATTGTGGCATCAGATCGCGTTGCTTAGTCTAAGGCGAATGGGTGCGGGCTGCGGAGCGTCTCATTTTCATCGACATGAAAATCTAAAATCAAGATGGCAGCCGACAGATTCAAACACGGGTAATCAGGGTGAACAGTAGAAGTGCGTGAACAGTAAAAGGATGTCTTTGTGAAAAGCCTGGCAAAGGCCTAGCTTTGCCAGGCCTTTGACAAAGATAGGTCCTTCTATCGAAACGTCGGCCAGCTTGTCTGAGGCACTTCCACTGTTTACCCTGATTACCCCTCATCGGCGTAAAGAATTTCACTGACGAAATAGCGGAAATAGTTGCGGTGTGCGCTTAAGTATTGAGCCTCTTCGGCGAATCGCATCATATTTGTATGAAGTTGAAGCGGTGTATACCGAACCCGATGGTGAAGAAGGCAACTTCTCGTGAGTAGCGGGTCTCTCCGAAAGGTGCTAGCACTTTTGTGCTGCGTTGCTACACCGCGACACGCAAGGCCTTATCAGTTTTCGAGGTAACTACGCTGTCACTCGGGCTGCCGATTGCATGTTTATTTGAGCCATGAGAAGCTGAATACACATGCCATTCACCAGATTTCAGAACGGACCAGTGTTGCTTGAGATAAGACAAATCGTAGTTTCGATTGTGATTGGAGTGCGCCTTTCATTCGGTTCACGAATCCATGTTATTATGTTTCCAATGAATAAGATCATGTGTTTCCGAACATTCGCTTGTTTGTGTTGGCAGTCGTTGATATTCAAAGCGGATATACGCACGCACACTACGCATGCTGCGAATGCACGAACATGATGCAAATACGCTGAAACATACGTATACACACGCACGGTGTATGAAAGCGCAGCCTTAGCACGCGTTTCTATGTGAGACTATACGCGCATGCAAAATAAAAAAAAATGTTTGGAGGAAACAATTACAGCACCTTAATTTGAGAAGGAATAGCCCAAGGGCGCTCACAGAAGACAAGCATATGAGAATAATACAGTCACACACGTAACGGAGCAAATTTCCTATTGCACTTGCCTATATAAACAAAACTATACTACGTGCATAGAGAAACCCGAATATTGATACGAATGCACACAAGCTTAAAATAATAAAGAACAATGGTGTACTCACCGAGGAAAGTAGTGAGCGCATTCATTATAACAAACTACCGCAGTGTCCGTCACCTTCTTTCCAATGCGCAAGTTTCTGATTTGCGCCGTTCTGCGTCGCGCGTCGTCTGCATCCTTCGCGAAGTGATGGAAGGATACGTCGCCATCTTTCCACCACGATGCCACGCATCGCCACACACCGCAATGGTCTCTGGACATCGCTTTCTTCTTTTTCGGGATCGTGCGTGCGGCATGGCGAAAAGAAAGGAACTACGCGACCGCTTCTCAATGCGCTCAACGTGATATCATGTCTGAGGAACTTTCACAGGGTCAAGATTGACCCGGTCAATGCCATTTCCAAGCGCGGACGCTAAGTAGCCAGCGCTCATTTAGAGTCAGAAATTACAAGTGCAACCCATATTGCACCTTCTACATCAGCCTTCAAACGCGCAGTCAGGATAATGCACTTCCTACATTAACGCAATAGCATTAAGGAGCTTGTACATGCAGCTGAAATTCAGGTGTCGGCATTGGCATTGTTGGTTGTGACCAATAAAATGGGTTGTCCATAAGTGAAAATTCAAGGCAACTACAAAAAAATAAAGATTTGTAAAAAGCAGTTGAAGTGCGCGAGCTGAACCCAAGCTTTTTGTATTCGTGGCAAGTGACTGGCGTTCTACCAAATGGTCAGGTAATTGAAAGAAACTGCCTCGAAAAAGAAAAGTACAAATATCATGTAATTAGACGAGTCTTCTTTAGGCATATGGTGCTGCATGGCAGTAGCGTGCAATCACGCCAGGCGCCAACAAATAGGCATTGCGCAATGAGTGGCTCTTTTAGATGCCCAACGATTACAAAGCGGTCAGACAAAGCCAACAGCTGCGTAGGTTCGCGTTTCCTAACCGACGCGTTGTTGCCTCTTTAATTTGCAAAAGGAAGAAGTATGGCGTAGTGGGCACTTCACTACTGTACTTGAAGTAGGCATTCTGAAATAGTCTGCAGCGGTGTATGCGCGTGATAATGCTCGTTTCTTTGCGGCATAGTTGAAGCATCCACCGAAAACCACAGCCACGCTAGCAACTGACGAGGCGACACACATGGAGCCCGATTACGCTATCGCGTTTTACTTTCGAAGCTCAAGCGTCACGCAAGTTTTCTTCAAATAGAAATTGCCACACATACACCAATATAAATAAGCTCCATGCGCAGAAAACCACCCCGAAAGGAGCAGTACGGGGGCGTTTATTGCGTGGTGATTCAATATGAAATGATGTCCAGGATACAAGTCCCTTGTTCGCACTTACAAATGTTCCAGATCTAGATGTTGGTATACGACAGACAAGCTTTGTTGGGTCGTTAGAAATTCGTTGGCAATGTTGAAGAGCCGTTCGGTCAAGCTCTTGAGGTATCTGTTATGTTTTACCCAAACAAAAACAAAGTCAATCGGGGTATAGTGGGGGTGAGGGCAGTCTCAGCAAGTACAACAAGAATGCATCGCTGAATATACAGAGAGAGAGAGAGGGGGAGGGGTCAGAAGTTCCCAGGCCACCATTTCATGTATTACTTTGGGAGGGTGGCCCGGGAACTTTTGACACCGCTGTACGTCTATCGCTTATTGCATGACATTCGTTATCAGTGCGGTGGCTGCTGAAATGAATGACAATAAACCAATATCCATGGAGATAACAGAAATGTTAAATAGATGTCTGGCCAAACTCAGCGTCGCCGACACCCGAGATGTGCTACTGCGACACCCGCTTCCATTACGTTTCGGTCCTCTTCACTGCATCCACGCACCCGGGTGTCAAAAGACATATTTGTGGAGAGCTGCCGCAGGCATGTACGGGATATTAAAGGGGCATTTGAGCCATGGAGCAGCTAAAGTACACGCAACGACACTCGCAGAAACGAGGTCGAAGCTTTGCAGTCCGTGACCGCGTGAACATAAACCAAGTATAAACGTCCGAAGCGTACACTGCACGCAGCCAGGGGGCTCACTTCCAAGGGATAGAATTCTAAAACGTAGCTTTACCACCATTGCGTTGGCTCCCGGCACCTCTCATGCACAGTGGGAAGTCACTGCATGGGATTACGGTGGTTAGCACATCGCTGATTTGCTCACTTTCTGTTATGTGCCTCAAGCGTTGTGACTGGTTCCAGTGTTTTATGTGCTATTAACCCGTTTCGTGACGATCATTTGCACCTTTCGAAAAGAACCACATGCACAGACCTGAAAAGTCACCGAAGTTATACATAGTGCACCCTTTTCTGGCAGCAGCCTTATGTATACAATGACGTTCGATCATTTTCAAAAATCAAGTAAAATTCTCCAAAATATGTCAACGCTCCTACACTCCTGAATGGCCCTTCATTGCTGTAATACTTGGCCATTCTAATAAAAACAGTAATCGGACGTTCTTCCCACACGTGGTTGGTCTGGGCGTCGCCCACTTCTCTGCGCTCCCGGAGGGTGCCTTGAAGTGAAAACCAGGATTAGACATAGTCAAGTGACAGACGAGTAAATGGTTGCAGCTGACGCAGTCACCATTCCGCCCTGATCTGCATTATGTGCTGCGTGCGTGCATCTGTTCAATCTCGAGGAACTTTTACGAAAAAAAAAAAAAAACGCCGTTTTCTCTGCCGTTCCTACGTAAACGTAACGCGTCATCGCTACAGTTTCACCTGTCCTCTATAGAGTGTTGGCGCTTCTTCATTCTGCTAAAAGCAAACTACTTCATGGGACGCCATTTTTCGGAACGCCGTTTCGTATGCAACACTGCTTCAAGGTAATACATGCGGGAGCACGCGGTGATGACTTTTATTGTAATTTTGTATAGCAATCTAAATATCTTCGAGAACGTCAATCAACTGTGGCTCAGCAGGCATCATTGCATCACCATGTTTAGTGGACGAAAGAAACTTTTTATTGGCTGACTTAGGTGATGTGGGCTATAGAATTGCAGGTGACGCGAACTGTGAAATCAAAATTCTGCTTTTTACAGCCATTAATTGAACACCGACGATAAAACGAGTTTAGATACAATATTTAATGGACGGCCAGAATTCCAAATACACACATAGTATAAGATTTTCGGAAATGTTTCACAACCCTTTTCAATATTGCGTGACCGTTTTTGTTAACTGGCCGAAGATCGGTCTTGAGCGTTCGTTCCTTTGTGTTCTGAATAAGTGAGTACAATTTTGTGCATGTAATGCAGGGCTGAGCACCACCGAGGTGATAATGGGGCACGCGATGGTGCAGACGGCGCTGGCGTACGTGCAGACTGTGTTCATGCTCGTCGTGTTCGTCAGCGTGTTCGACACACCCGTGCACGGGTCCATCCTGGTGGCCTTCATCATTCCCGTACTCATGGCCTTCACCGGCATGAACTTTGGTCAGTCCAGAATGCAATCGAGCGTTCGCAGCATCATCAACAAAATCTCGCCCTGGGTGACACAAACGATCTGCTTTGTGGACAGAAAACACTTAGCAGGTCTATCGTGACAACGCGCCCGTATATTTTGCGTGTATACTATGGCTTTATGCACCAAACGCAAGATTCTAGCAATCCGTGAGGTTCCCTACTTTGCCGAAGAGATTTTGTGTTGTGTGACCCTCGGCTGTTTTGCGAAGACGAGACTTCCTCTGTAAGAAACCGATTTTTTAGGGGATAGTCGATTAATAATTAATCGTTAAATTATTTGGCCTCTACTCGATTAATTGACTTCAAAATGATGTCTCAGTCGATTAATAGACTTTTTTTATGTGTCAGCGACTAGTGTCAGCGGCCGTGCAGTAAAGCCAGTCAACGTCATATACGGCAACAGTGACGTGAAAAGTTCCACTTGAGGTGGGTTGTCGTGTGCTAACGCAATGCGGACTCCTAAAATGCTATTTTAATTCCAAATAAGCCCTTCCTGGGCACTAAAGTAGCACTACGAGGTTTCTGCACCGCTGTTCTAAAGGCCTGACCGCACGTACGCGTCGCAGCGCGAGGCTTCTTGACGTGGTGCCACGCTCTCTTCATCTAGAGAGAGTGGGCTCGTGGATATACGCCAGGCCACGCGCTCTATGGGAGATAGCTCGATGCCGCGTCGAAAAGACGCACCGACGCGCTGCGAATGGGTACGTGTGCTCAGGCTAGCCGCACAATGTCACGCTTCGGCATCGGCGCCGTGCACACCCCCACTGCGCATGCTCGGCAGTGGGCGAGAAAACGCGCAGTAGCATTCGCAGTGGGCCAAAGAGACTGAGCCAAAGCACCATTTATATCGACATTAAAGTGAAGGATAAGGGAGCGAGGCTTCTGCACATTTGTGTTGCTCCATAAGCAGTAATGCAGCTCGCGGCGGCTTTACGCAACCCAATAGGTAACGGGTAATATCGACAATCGCAGGGAGCTGTGGCATACGACGGCTTCCGGTTCGACGCATCCAACGGGACGCGCGCATTTTCGTACCGCTCCGTTGAGAAAAGCACCTCTCCGTGCAATGTCAGTGCTTTAGAAGTTTTTTTTTTTGTTTGTTTCCGCTAACCGTGACGATGACAAGTTACGAAAGCCATGAACGGTAAGGAAACTTTTTTATCGCCCTCAAATGGCCTGCAATGCTTTTATGCTGCTCGGGAGTACTGTCAGTTTGGCTAGCAGATCAGTCGATACAGAAAGCAGTTTTATTGTATGATACGTTACTGCAGATAAAAAAAAATCACCATTTTAAAAATCTCAGGGGATGGGGATGGCTGTAGCAGTGTGCTAAGTGTTCATTTCGGGATCGCTGCTTCGGCCGACATTGTGGGTCGATCGCCATGAAGCGCAGCACGTATTGAGCGCGTTGACATATCTTTTTTGTTGTTGTTTCTAGCCTTCAGCGCGCTATAAGATGCATTTCTTAGTCGAAACCAGACGCTTATTTGAACGCTGATCTTGATCGAGCTGCACGGCACGGCAGCACATAAACAATACAGTCAGACATAGACTGCGCCAAATAATCGAAATCCTGCGCTTGTTTAACGCACTTCTTCCTTTGGGTGCCGTTCTGGCGCACAGTTTGATTAAGATAAACACGAATGGACTTGTCCAGCGCTTCGTGTAAACTTACTCTTGAAGGAAGCTTTCGTTTTTTTTTTTTTGTGATATATATGGGTGCGATTGCCGGTGCTCACTCGTAAGGGGGTAGATTTCGCCGGCGCATTCCCGTCTTTGCTTAAGCGCGCCTGCGCCGTCAATTTGTTTCTCAATATATTATTCGCAGCAAATTTATGCGTAAGCTTTTTTTAGTGTGCAATACACACGTACTTGTAATAAAATGGTTTTCGCACACTCTGGTTTTAGCGTTCCGCACTCGAAGGCTACCTGTCGCTGTGGCTCTCTAAACACAGCCATGGCCCTCCTCATTTTTATTTATTCCATTGGAATTGATACTTGCGTTTGCCTTTCACGCCCTAGTTGAAGCAGCCAACGGCTGAACAACCAACCATGGTTTCTCAGGACGAAGATGAACGGGCGACCACGCACGCGAATCTTGAATGATTTGAGGCTTGCGGCGAAGTGGTTCGCCGTCATCTGCAGACTTCTCGAACCGGAAGCCGGTAGCATACGGTGGCTCCCACAATCTCTCGCTATTTTACTGGTCACCTATTACGCAACGTTGACATGATACATTCTCCTTTCCCCACACTGTCACGCATTTTCCTCCGAGGATAGATGGGGGCGTCATTTTTTTTTTTTTCAGCCACGTGACTCAAGTACCAAACCTCTCATCGCATCACATACGCTGGAAGAGAACGTCAGCTTATTTTACGGGGCATTGGCAATGCAAGCTACCGTAATCAGAAGCAAGCCTATAATACCGTAATTCTATGATACCACATAGTCGATTGTAACGCCACCACAGTTGCTACACGAGGGGTGACATTTTATTTCGTTTAGAAAGAAAAAAAAAAGTGATCATATTTCGATACTCAATGTTAACGGGAGGGTCAACTTTGATAGCGAAAATCCGGACAAATAACCCACGTTACATTAATGCGAATGTGGGATCATGCGATCAGGCACGAATTCTGAACGGCGACGGATATAAGGTGTCCGTTGGTGTCAGAACTGGATGCCTAAGAGACGCTTTTTGGTCGCCAGTCGCAACTATAGTCTCATGCAACCTGTGCAAGTCATAAATGCGAATGAGCATTTAGTTGCGGTGTGCAATGCTTCAAAATAATGAACTCTTGGCGTGGGCGTGTGGCATTGTCGTCAGTTCTGAGGAGTAGGTGACATTTTTCGCAGGTTTCTTCACCTCTTCAGTGTCCAAAGATGAAGCGACGGCGTTGTTGCTGTCCCTGGCTGCACTCTACCCGGCGTTGCTCATGGGAGGTCAGTGGCGTTGTATGCATCCCTTTGCGTTGTCAGGGGAACTCTCAGAGTTTATGCGCGTCCCTAACTGGCTCTAACCATAATGCATGCATTGAATCGTCGCTCTTATATTCAAGAGGGAGAGAGAAAAAAATCACAACATATCTACGGACTGAATGAGGATGAGTGAAGCGAAACATAAGTCCGTCCGTTTTTTCATTCTTGCTTCCATCCGTCCGTGCACCCGTCCGTCTGATTCTGTCCTTCCGTCCATCCATCCATATAGTGAACACTCCAACTACTGTCATCTCGCATCTTTTAGAAGTACCGCCATCCAGAAGATATTCCAAGGACTGAACGAAAGGTGGCTACCTACTTGTGCTGCTGCTGCTGCTGCTGCTGCTGCTACAACAACAACGACGACACGACTACAACGACGACAACTACAACAACGACAACCACAACAACGACAACAGCATACATCGCGGACACACGACCAAATGCATAAGGAGCTTCGCCCCTAGAAAAATTCGCCAGATCCCACGTACCTGGGAATCGATGATATGCGAAGCATGCGGAGAGAAGGTGATTACGTTTCAATTTTTTTATTGAGCAACACATCATAAAATGACACTAAATATATGTACAAATGTTGCACGCACAGACATATAAAGGAGTACATACGTAATGTCTACATTATTGGGTTGATGAGTTTCAGATGTTTATACAACCAGTTGTTTGCACTTGCGCAACGATGCCAACTGGAACGCGTGTATTAGCAACACCAGGAGCTGACATGAAGCCCTAATACTCGCGGGGACGCTGGCCCTGGACACTGCGACTTAAATAAACTTCAGCGCATGACAACTAACCACAATTGACCTTAACCCGACGTGACGGCTGTATCAAAGGAGTACATACGTAATGTTTATAATATTGGGTAGGCATAGCAGCACTTCAACCACTATTGATGTTTAACGAAGATCAGCGTCTATTTATAAAGTAGTTCCGAGGCTTGGCATAGCTCTGCGCAGAATGCTTGGGTTCGATTGCAACTGGGACCCTGACATTCTTTGAAATCGTCGGGTTGACGCTACCGATGTCGGGTATTCCTTAACGCTCGCGCGTTAAAATTGCACATGTGGACTCTTGTCGTTCCTGGGTAATACCAAGTGTCAATCACCTGTCACATAACAGCGGCACATACCGCCCGTGAGTATACATGTGTCACTGTCTGGCGGGAAGTGTTTGACGACGTACGCGACTGAATCGTGACAACATTCATGTCTTGACCGGCGCGTCATCTTCGTGAAACCATCTTACCCTCCCATGCTAATTTTGGTTCCCGCCAAATTAAGGGGGTGACCACGAGAGCACCCAAACGTAAGTTGCTAGACGGAGAGACAGATTATCTATCTATCTATCTATCTATCTATCTATCTATCTATCTATCTATCTATCTATCTATCTATCTATATCTATCTATCTATCTATCTATCTATCTATCATCTATCTATCTATCTATCTATCTATCTATCTATCTATCTATCTATCTATCTATCTATCTATCTATCTATCTATCTATCTATCTATCTATCTATCTATCAGATAGATACATAGATATCTATCAGATAGATAGATAGATATCTATCAGATAGATAGATAGATAGATAGATAGATATCTATCATAGATAGATAGATAGATAGATATCAGATAGATAGATATCAAAATAGATAGACATCGACATAGACAGATAGATATATATCAAAATAGACAGATAGATATAGAGATAGATATATAGATAGATAGAGATATAGATAGATAGATAGACAGATAGATATATCAAAATAGACAGATAGATAGATATAGAGATAGATAGATAGATAGATATAGAGATAGATAGATAGATAGATAGATATATAGAGATAGATAGATATAGAGATAGATAGATATAGAGATATAGATAGATAGAGATATAGATAAATAGATAGATAGATAGATAGATAGATAGATAGATAGACAGTGAAAGCTACAAGTATAGTATTGTACAAAGGTGTAGTTTCAGTTTTTCAGTTTGTTTTATTGAGCATTTTCTTCACAGAATTGCAAAAAACTGTTTGCTGCGTTTCTTGAAAATATTTTCTTGGCTTAAACTACCATTCGCCGGTGAAGTTCATCGCAAGGTTTTTTCAAGCGAGAACACGGAATATCCAGAATCCGACGTATACGCTTACTCAAAGAGGCAGAGTTATTAGGCATTTCAGGTACGTACGTGTGAAAGGAGCAACGCTCTCACTCGTGCAAAAATGATTCTTGCTGGGACCCTGCCATTTATTCTTTGCATTCGTCGGGTCAATGCTGCCAATGACAGCTTTTTCTTAACGCTCACACGTTAAAATTACCCATGTCTGTTGTCACCGCTCCTGCGTAGATACTAAGTGTCAGCCACTTGTGCTAACAAAGAACTTAAACAAATTTAAAAGTCTTGCGGGCTTTCGCTGCGTCATATCTAAAATGGGGTCTTTGTCTCTTGTTATTTTCACGTAGGAAACGTGGATGCAATTTTGTGGCTACCTTCAGTTGCCGTGGCGTTCGCGCAGTTTGCCTTATATTCATTTTTTAAAAGACGTTGTCCGCGAGCAAGCACGGCAGTTTGTAAAGGCCATTGTGTAAAGTCCGTTGGGTGAAACGGCCTCCGTGTGGCGCAGCGAAAGCCATACTGAAGCGGGTGAAGGCATGACAGTGCGCGCATATGATGATGATCAAAGTAAATTAATGTAGTAGTGAGTTGATTAGCGAAAGTTGACTTGTAGCAATGGAGATAGGTAATAAGCAAAGTTAATTATACGATTTTAATGAAAGCATTTGGTGTAGAAGTGAATCTCGCCTCAATGGTACAGTGGTGATGGCGCCCGACTGCTCATGCATAAAGGTCGCGGGATGGAATCCCGCTGGCGTGACCATGCTTTTATTTCGATGAAATCTTAGACGCCCATGGGCCTAGACTTAGTAATACTGCTACGTCTGGGTTGAGACAGCGTTTATTCAGCCCAAGGGCTCAGCAGCGAACGGGCAGTCTGAGACAGAGCGTGCACACATCCGACAATGACTGTGGTGACATCCAGTAAAGATGAGGACAGAGACCCAGACGGATGATAATGATCATAATAATGCATGTATGAGAAGCGCATAACGAATGACAACACTAGTTCTGTCCACGTGGAAGCGGCCAACCTGGTCGAGCAAGTCAACGTGACAGAGAACGTTGCCTGAAAGGCTTCATGCGAGAAACGTGCACGATCTCTGTTGTGAGGTGAGGGCGGTCTGTTGGGACAACAAGTGGGGTCATGCGATGAATAACGGACGAATTCGTGCTCGAAAACTATGTAAGGCCCAATGAAGTATGGCTGAAACTTGTCACACAGACCAGTTTTACGAATAGGCGTGAACAAGAGCACCTCGTCACCAAGTCGTAAGAATACAAGGCGATGGGATGCATCATAAATGACTTTTCTATCTTGCTGTCGCGCTTCCGTGTTGATGCGAGCACTATCACGACACAGGGCTTGTCTTGAAATGTACTCCTCGCTGGAAGACGGAGAAGAGTTGATGGTGTCGAAAAAGGAAACGTCGAGAAAGAAAATAAGGAGAACGTTCATAAACGAGGTAGAATGGCGAATATCCGGTGGTGCGCTGAACAGCCGTGTTGTAGGCAAAGGTGAGAAATGGGAGAAGCATATCGAAGTTTTTGTGGTCTGGACTGATGTAAACGGCTATTATATCAGCAAGAGTACGATGAAATATCTCGGTGAGACCATTGGTTTGAGGGTGGTAGCTTGAAGCTGTCTCGTGTGTTATTCCAGGGGCGCGCAATACTTCATTTAGCACTTCTGACAGGAACACTCTTCCACGGTCACTCAGTAATATACGAGGGGCGCCGTAGCGCAGAATGATGGCGTGCAGAATGAAGTCTGCAACTTCCGAAGCAGAGGCACTTGACACAGACGTCTCCGCGTAGCGTGTCAGGTGGTCTACGGCGGTCACTATTCATCGTTTGCCAATAGATGTGACGAGTCTTCGATTTGAGGCGGCGCAGCATGGTATCAATCATGCGCTCAAAGGTAGTGGGTGCGTTGCACAGCTCGAAAGGCTTAACGTTCAATTCGTATAGCCCGTCTGTGGT